TGATTCAGGAGTACAATGAAGAACTCGAAGCCAAAGAGGAAAAATATGAGGCACTTGACAAATCTGTCAGAGATCAAGCTGCTAAAGTCAAATCTAAAGAGAACGAATTAGGGTTGATTGAAGAAACAATTGTGGATCGCTCTGCAGAGCTTCATTCAAGAGATATTGAATTTCGTTCACTGCAAACAACGATAAGAAGGAGTCAGAAAGAGCTTGAAGCAACAAAGAAGGAGCTCGATTCAGTCAAAGAAAGGGTGAGAGGATATTCTGAGGATCTTGAATTGAAAGAGCAGGAGTTTGATGCTATACAAATGTGCATTGAAGAACATAGGCAAGAACTTTGTTTGAAAGAGAAGCAACTCAGCTCAGTCCAAATATCAATTAAAGGATGCAGCAAGCAGCTCAACGCAGAGGAGGAAGTGCTTATCACAATCAAGAACTCAATTTTGGAGTGCACCAAGGAACTTGAATCAAAACAACAGCAGCTTGAAGCACTAAAAAATTCTCTGGAGCAGCTCTCTGACATGGTTGGATCAAAAGAAAAGCAACTGGAATCAATTGAAAAGGCATGCAATGATCACCTAAAGGAAGCCAATGTGAAGGAGAAGTATCTGGATTCACTTCAAAGATCATTAGAGGAACGCTTGGAAAAATTGGATTTAGAAAGGAAGCAGTTTGAAGCTTGTGTCAAGGAGTTTGAACTACAAGCAAAACAATTTGATTCTGTCCAAAAGGCAGTTGAAGAACGAAGTAAAGAACTGGAATTGAAAGAGAAGCAACTACCTAATGCCCTTCATTCTCAAGTGAGGAGTGAGAATCCTAGTTCTTTTTCCTTGCAGGTCCTTGGAATCACAAACACAGAAAGAGGTGTGTTCTCTTTTTCTCTCTCTATTTGTTGATAGTACAAGGTGCTCCCTCATTTCTTCTTCTCTTTCTCCCTCCCTATGTTGATCTGCATTCATGGCATTCATCCCTTTCACTGGAAAGGGATTCTAGATGCTCAATTTCCCATATATCATCTAAAGGAGTGGTTTCTAGATATTCATTCCTCATATGTCATGGCCACTGGGAAAAGATCTCTTATCTTGATGATCCTTCTTTATAGCAGTCCTTCAGCCGTTTCAATATTTTTATTTGTGGTTGTAGAGCACCATAAGGCATGTTTTTCCTCATTTTCTTTCTGTCTCTTTATTTCTCTGTTTTTACTATATCAAAGCCATAGTCAAACTGACTACCTATGACCAACATGGCTATGAAAACTTGGTGGCATGTAGGGGACATCATTCTGTTTTGCTATTGGTTCTTATTAGGGCAGTACTTCCATTAACCTGTTCAGGATAAATCTATTTTAATCTTCTTGCTACTTTTACAAGCCTGTGAGGGTTTTGGAATATATCTGTAACGTTGTGAGACTGGTTTGGACTACTTGGGGTTTAGTTGTTCTAGTTATAAAGTGAAAGGAAAAGGAAATCTCATCAGCAATCTGTGGTCTAAGTCTACCAAAGTAATAGTTGCGTGTACCTTTGTGATATTGTTTCATTTTACCCCCCTTGGCTCTTAGAAAATTTCTTGATTTTAAATTTGGAAGTTTCCGTTTTTTCTTTTCAAGATTTAAAGCTACTTTCAATATGTAATGCTCACGTGGAAATAACTAGTTGGCTGTAAATGTCTTATTAATTGCAATGCAGAATTAAGAAGTTTGTTACTAAACTTTCTTTTTATTTTCTTCTCTGTATTGCATGTGCTTAGTGAACCCCGCCATCCTTAACCAAATAAAGACTGAGCAGCCGGATAATTTTATGATTAGCAATGCACATGAAACTTCATCTGCTGATCTTGGGGTTGGTGCTACAATGGATGGAAGGAGTTTGCAAGGTATCAACAATGAGCATTTGTACGAGCCTGATTTGAGGAGGAATGAAGTTTTGGTTGCCCTTCAAATGTCACCAGATCCAGCCAAGTTTGTTCTGGATCTGATGCTAGGGACATGTTCTGAACATCAGAAGAAGGGTGGGACAGGATTCGAAGAAAGTGTTCTGAGGATTTATGTCCTTTTGTTGGAGCAGCTTTTGCAAGTTTCACCACTTGTACAACCTAATGTGAAAGCAGATGCGATGAAGTTAGCAATCGAGTGGAAAGCAAAGATGAGTTCGAGTGCTCAAAATTATATTGAGGTCTTTGGTTTTTTGCAGTTTGTTGCTGCTTTTGGATTGGTGTCCTCTTTTAATAGAGATGAAATCTTCAAACTTCTTTTGATTGCTGCTCAACACCAACAGGCTCAAAATGTATGCCGGGTCCTTGGTTTTACAGATATGATTCCTGGTAAATTTACTGACAGCTTAGTTTGCATATTAATATTCTTGTATGATTGTGTATCTACACATGAACATACATTTATCTTTTCTATGTGCATGTATGCATTTATTACATGTATAAGCAGTAGCATAGGTACATGGACATGCATTTTCTATGTCTAATTATTCTCATTGTATATGCTTACTAATAGCTATAGTATTTTGTTCCTATTCAGCCGCCGTAAATTCTGAAACCTGAAACTGGGAGAGTTCATTTAGGCTTATATCTATTATTAGTTAACAATCCTCTAATTTTTTTCTTTCTCATATTGTTCTTATCCAATAAGAGGAAAAAGAATTTTATATGGATTGGCGTTATGTTTTCCTATGCGTTGAACTCCAAAATAAACCGATGCAATTAAATTGGTATGTATATAGATAGTGCTTGTTATATATAAATCATTCAGGCTTTTGTCAGTGTAAAAATAATTTGAAATATGTTGATAACTAGAGCTAGAAACTCAAGAATGTGATTAATTTGAAAACTTTGTGTGAGTTTCATGCATTGAGATAAGTTGTTTCAGAAAATTTATTTTTGAATTATTTTTGGGCCTCGGTCTTATTGCAAGTTGCCAAGTTGGGACTTTTTCCTTGGTTTGTTTGTTAGTCATATTTTACTCAAGTTTGGTAAAATATTTTTGTATTTTGCATATCAAAAAGGACAGATTGATGGAGACTACAAATTTGCAATTTTATGTAACAGATTTCATTTGTAGTCTAATTGCAAGGAAGCAGTATATTGAAGCTGTTAGATTTGTCTGTGCGTTTGGTTGCAAGGACAAGTTCCCACCAGAAATGCTCTTTAACTTATTCTGGGAGGATGTAAATAGTGTGGCTCATGAGAAGTGCAAGATGGGGAAGAATTGCTCTGAAGTACGGGTATGCCTTACCTTTCTTTACTATGTTAATATTTCCACAATAGTTTATTCTAGCGCCCTTGTAGACATGCATAGTTTTTGCAATTAACATATAAACTTTTAGATATGATTGCTTTTTCCAGGAGAAGGCCAGTGATGAACAGATTGCTTCACTGAAATCAGCAATTGAATACATCAAGAATTGTAAGCTTGACTCCAGTATGCCGGTTGAGGTCATGGAGAAGTGCATTGCTCGGCTTGAAAAGCAAAAGATGAACGGGAGAGTTTCTGCACTAACCCCAGCCCCTGACGTTCAACCAAAGCTTCAGGGCCTGACAAATCATAATACTGGCCGTTCTATCTCCAGGAATCAACCCAATCCTGTCCCTGCAGTTCCAAGGCAGTTTCTGGGTGGGATTTGTGCTTCCGCTCCGGGGAGTAAACTGCAAGAGCTGAGAAACAAGCGTGCTTGGACTCATGGACCAGCTATTAGATGCTATACTCCTCAAGTGCCAACTGTTAACAAACCATATATTCCTTCAGCTTCACATCATGACTTAAGTGTTCCACTTAATCGAGACATAGCTCATTTTGGTTTGGCTGCTAACTTAGGTCATTCACCTAATTTGATGACCCGGCGGTTAAATATTGCTGAAGAACAACGCTTGACTCACAAAAGGCCCAAGCAGTGGTAGTTGTGGTCTGTTAACTCTCTCGACAGCCTCATCGCCTGTACATATCATAGACTATATATATATGTATAGGTTAGGCAGTGTACCTTTGTGTTGGCGATGGATCATCTCCTTGGTAGTCTTTTGCAAGTGCATTGTTAGTACTGCTACATGCGGAATGAAACTGTACATGAGTACTTCAGACCCTTTGTAGCCATGTCTGGAAAAGGGCAATGACTAACACCCGAGATTTTTCACAATTGAAATACTACTGTTCTATTCTGCCTCCGTTTTTTTTCCTCTTGTTTTGCCTCCTGAAAACAGAAAAGCTTGTCCAAAAGAAAATTCTTAAAAAATTGAAAAAGGAAAGAAAATTAGATGGATGGATGGATGGATGGAAAATGCAGAACTAAAGCCATTTTTGGACTGCTGGTCGAATTCATATTGCAGTCACATAAATACACTCTCAACCATGTTTAGAACTTTGTTATCAACTGCCATATTTTCTTGGCATCTATAATAATAATACCCATTTGAAAAGTGTTACTCACAGGCATGAGACCACTGAGATGGGGTGACACTGACTGATCCAATCATCCCAATTTGTATAAATTCATGGTAACCAACCACATGGTCAACATCCTAGACAAGTAACTAGCCACTCCATCACTCCATTGACACAGATACCCACTCGATCAACAACATTTGACATGAATACCAACTCAAGCAACAACATTTGAGACTACGTAAATTGTCTGCTGATGAAACAAGAAAAAATTGGTGTAAGATTCACGTCAAATTAATGAATATAAGCAAGTGATTTATTTTTCAACATTGATAAAAGTCGTGTAACACCTGACCCTTTTTGAAGGCTCCTCCCTCTCTTTATATGTATAGGATGCCCATTTTTCGAAGCCCAAGTAATCCCAGTCTAACGCAATGCATGTGCCATACAACCTGGGCTGATTCTGCAACTAGCCTTCATGAATTTGATTAAAGCCCGCGCCTTACAGCAAAAACCAAAACCCACAAAGCCGAACATTACTAGTCTTGCTGCTTGCATGATGATGAAGGTGACAGGAAACTGGTCTCCGCATAATAGAAAACTATAAAGAAAGACCCAAAAGGATAGCAGTCAACCTTCTGGTTACTTCCTGACCAAGGCCTTTCTTTCTGATCCATTTAAATTTTGCTTTCACTGCTTGGACAAACTTTCATTTCTCTGTTTGTTTTTCCTTTCCTTCCGGGAATCATCTCTGTTCAAGAAAAAAAATGTGTTCTTCTGAGGATATCTCAGCTGACCTGATCCTGTTCCAATCCCAAAGTAAAAGTCTTGTAAACACCCTGGAAAGGCTCCGGGGTGGTTCTTCTTTAGTCTCTTCACTGTCTCTTCAATGCCAAGAGCTACAGGAACTCTCCAAGTCAATCCAACGTTCAATCCAAACTCGTTTCCAGGAACTCCAATCCAAAGAAAATGAGATAGAGAATAGGCTCAAACAACTTGAATTCAGAGAACAGGAACTGTGTAAGCTTTCAAAACTAAAACTTGATGATAGGTTGATCGGAAAAGGTTCGTCTCTACCGGATTTAAAGTTTATTGTTAGTACAGATGGGGAAAGATTGTTGATGTTCTTGAACGAGCATGAGAATGAACATGAAAAGCTAGCTGACGAGGTTTACAATGTACTTAAACTGTCTAATAATCCTGGAAAACTGGTTTGGCAGGCAGTTAGAGGGGTGTTCTTGGAAAAAGGAAATGCTGGGGTTGAGAGAAATGTGGAGAGAAGAAGTTGCTTGGTTTTATTGGAGGGGTTGATGAGAGTTAGGCCTGAGATTAAGAAATATGTTAAAAAAGCAGCAGCGTTTGTGGCAAGAGAGTGGAAGCTAAAGCTTGGGATGGAGGGTGAGGATGATACGGAGATTTTACTGTTTCTGATGCTTGTGGGTGCTTACGGATTGCTTGATCAGTTTAAATCCAAGGAAATTAGAAGTCTTTTTGAGAGGGTTGCACAGTATAAGGAGGCTTCCTTTTTGGGTTGTATTCTTGGATTTGTTGGGAAGGCTGCCCCTGGTAAAATCTCTCTACTTTCTCATTATCATCTAAAGTTTCATGTTTTTGCAGTAAATTGCCTAGTTGATATCTTTTTTTTAAAAAAAAAAACGTAATGTTCTTGGAATTTTCTTAGTCAATTGAGAAACATCAGTCTGTGCTCTTGTTTCCTTTGGTGCTAGAACTTCCACTTACCAGCATTTTCTGTTTTCTCAAACTTTTTGATATTTTTTCTGTTCAGAGACCTGCATCCTCCATTCCCAAGTAAAGACGGAGCAATTGGGTGAGGTTTCAAGTGTGACGTCTGAGGCAATAGATGATACAGTGATCAATCACTCCTGTTCATCCTCAGCTCATTTAAGATTTATTGCAAATGCAAATGGAGATAGGTTGTTGATGTTTTTGAATGAGCATGAGACTGATGAGAAGATTGGTGATGTTGTTTACAATGCGCTGAAAATGTCTGTTAATCCAGCAAAATTGGTTTTGGATGTAGTTAAAGCAGGAATTTCGGAGAAGGCAAATGTAGGAGTTGAAAGTGGTGTGGTCAAGAACAGTTGTGTGGTTCTGTTGGATCAGTTGATGAGATTGAGGCCAGAGGTTAGTCAGAAACTGAGGAAAAAAGCACTGAAGGTAGCACAACAATGGAAAGGAAATATAAAAACCCAAGGCAATTATGATGAAGAGGTTTTGGTCTTTTTGATGCTTGTGGGTGCTTATGGATTGACTAGTGAATTCAATTTCAAAGAAATTGAGAGTCTTTTTGAGAGTGTTTCTCAGCATAAACAGGCACCTATATTGAGTCGTGTCCTTGGTTTCACTGACCAAACCCTTCGTAAGTCTATTGTTGTTGTTTCCCAGAAAAATCATTTTCATTTTCTCTCTTGGAGTTCTATGACCTGGTGGTCTCTTTATGTGCAACTTGTTTCTTTTATAGGTCCGAATTTGTTAATCAATCAAAATTATCATTTTAGGTTTAATCCTTCTTCCTTCACCCTTATTATTGATTTAATCCTGCTTCTCTCAATGATTTTGAATCCATGGAAGATATGTCTTAATTAAATGGAAGGCTATCTGTGTTGTGCTTATAGCTTGTAGGTTTCATTTCTTTTGATTCTACATTCACTTACTAGTGTGTCATCTATGCATACAAGTTGATATTGTAATCATTCAGTGAGAGGCATCTATCTTTTTCAACTAAAGATTGAGCAATCTGATGCAGAAAATATTCAATTGGATAGCATCCTTCCCTCTGAAGCAAAGCTTGAGCAGTCTAATGCTACTTCATCCGCTAGTTGGTGGCCTGAGCTAGTATCTTTTAGTATGAGCATGGATGCAAGGGGTTTGATATTGTTTTTGTCTGAGCATGTGGAAGATCATAATCTAATGCGATGTGAAATTTCTGATGCTCTTCTGTTGGCCTCAGATCCTGCAAAATTAGTCTTGGATGCATTATCTAGTTTTTATCGTTCAAAGTCAGGAGATGGGTTTAAGGGTGCTGCCTTATCCAATGTGAGAAAGAGTTGCATTCTTTTGTTGGAGCAGCTAATGACATGTTCCGTCCAAAGTGGATGCCATGTGAATGAAGAAGCTCTTAAGTTAGCAGTTGAGTGGAAAGAAAGAATGGAACAGAAGTACCCACATGGTGTGATGGCATATGGATTCTTGCAGTTTATAATCACATACAGTTTGACATCTGCTTATGATGTGGATGAACTCCTTTGTCTTTTGGTTACTGCAAGTGAGTATAGACAGTCTCCTGATTTGTGTCTGGCTCTTGGTTTGGCAGATAAGATATCAAGTGAGTCTACTGTCTCTCGCTGCTGCTCTTTTTTAAGAGATTGTTCACTCAATGTTCTATACTATGGCAGCTTCAATTTTTTATGGCATTATCATTTCATGTTTTCATGATCTTATTGTGTTTGTTTGCTATGCATTACTCTCTTTCTCTTCTTCTCTTTCTTAAGAGATTGTTTGCTCAATGGTCTATACTAAGGCAGCTTCAATTCTTTTATGGCATAATCGTCTTACATTTTCCTGATCTTATATTGTTTATGTGTTATGTGTTTCTTGATATTGTTATTCTTTTAGCTGTTTTCTCTAGGTTGTCATTTTCTTCATTGCAGAGCTTATATCGATGCCTTGGGTGCCGTGGATTAGAAAACAACAGAACATGCATACATCTGATTTACATCTTTCGACTAATTTTAATACTTGGAAGCATAATATCTTTACCGAACATATCTATATAATATCTTCCAACATCTTGGTGGGGTAATTCTAGTATGAAACATTTAAACGTCCTTCATATTGCAGAATCCATTTTTTTCCTGATCTGCATATTCTGAGGCAGAAATTATACCACCACACTGGACCCAGCAGATTGTGATTTAAGTTTATTTGTTTCCCACATTTGTTCCCTTGTCAAGCTGTTAAATATTGCCCCTTTAATGTTGGTCCTCCCCCTTTGCTAGCTCCACATTATTGTGCAGGGGTGTGTGTGTGTTGATGTCAAGGGTGTTGTCAAAGTCCATTGCCTTCAGGAACACATTGAATGGATCACCCGATTATTTTGGTCTTGCTTTGCCTGTCTACTTCTCCTTTTTATGTTACTAAAATACATTATTTATATTGCACTTTTCCCTATTGAATGCAACTGCAATATAAAGACACTTTATGCTATATTTCTTGATCATTTTTATCCTATTCTATTGTTATTGTTTTTTTATGTGTATGCAATCAAATACAAACATGCTGAACTCGAGATTTTGCCTTTCAAGTTACAATTTGAGTTCTCTGTAGACATATGTTAGTCACCATATAAGTTGTGAACATTATTCCCTATTCCCACATGTATCCTCATTAAGAATTGAAAAACAGAACTAGAAGCCGTTAGATCAGTAGATTGTTTCTTTAGCCAACAATGCTTGGAATACTAATTTTTCATGAGAATTAAAGGTCAAATTCGGGCCTGATGTTTTGTATTTTCCAACAACAGTTACACCTCTCCAGCATAGTGCTAGATATACTGCACGATTTTCCCAAATACTATTTCAGTGCACTCGTACTATAAAATTTTGGCATAAAACCTTGATATGCTACAACAGTTGTCTTGTTGCTGCATGTACTGGAATGATTATAAAAGAAATCGGCAGATCAGTATGGTTATATATTTAGTTGTTCAGAGTTCTCCAGATCTTATTTTTATTTACATCCATTCAATGTAGAACTGTAGCTTCTAAAGATTAGGTGATCGAGACAAAGATAAGAACCACAGAAGGAACAAGTAGAATGATTATTTTTAATAAATTTAAAACTGAAGAAGCTAGTTACTGGAAGCTAAAGCATTACTGGCATTGGAAATGAGCTCCACAAAAGTCTTAGTTTTTGATAAGTACTCTATGCTCTTGTCTAGTTGTCATCTCTCCCTTCATTTGCATTAGGAGTTTTGCCTGTTTATAACAGTTATTAGTAAGTTGAGATGGTACTTTCCTTTCGGTTAGTATGTTTTGGTCTCCTTAATAGCATTTTGACCAGAACTGCGAAATTCGGTTACATTTGGCAGTACTTATCGAGACCCTCATAAAAAGTAATCTACAGCTTGAGGCTATTGCATATATATGTGCATTTGGTCTTGCTGACAAGTTCCCTCCTGCACACCTTCTGAATGCCCACTTGAAATATTCCAAGATGAGAATATACAAGAAGGCTAAAAAATCAAACGTGAAACAGGTAAGTTTTGCACTTTTTGTGTCTCTGTATCCTCAAAGGTTAAGCTGAGATCTAGCCTATCCTAGATTTATATCTTTAAGACTTTCACCCAACATGCTGGCAGAATCAGACCATAGACAAAGAAATTGCTATTATGAGAAAGGTCATTAGATGCATTGCTGATCACAAACTAGAATCCTTATACCCACCTGAGGATCTTGAAAACTACATTGTGCATCTGGAAAGGCAGAAAGAACAGGGAAATGTAACAGCACGAAGGGAGAAGCAGAAAGCAGACAGGAAAAAAACTTTGCCAGTCCCTTCAACCAAGAAACCACAGCAGGAGTGTGGACTTAAGTCGCCTTTCATGAATATGCCAGCCGAGGCCCCACCAAGCACTTCTGCTAGTGCTGATTGCACTCTTCACTTAAGACCATCACCTCTTGAACAACCAGTTAGCTTGATTGCTGATCAAACTGCACCTTGTAGTTTGTGGGACTCTGCTATTTTCTCTGCAGACACAAACTCATTTAATTGGCAGCATGGGTGTGCAATTGCCAATAATGGGAGCTTGGAGCAGTTCACTTCAACTGAAGCATTTGACAAGGCTGCCCCTGGTAAAATCTCTTTTCTTTGCTGTTGTTATTTTTAGTTCTTTTTAGCAAACAGGATAATAATTCTAGGTTTAATCCTCCCTCCCTCAGCAACCTTTTATTATTGTTGATTGTATTCGTTTGTAATTACAATAATTTTGATAGCATGGAATGGTATCATGCATTGCTTATATTTTGGCAATTATATCTTTGTTTTCAATTCTTTTGACACTAAAAGTTGCTTACTAGTTTCTTATGCACTCATAGTTTGATCCTCTAACCATACAGAAAGCAGTGTCCATCATGCTCAACTGATTGACCAATCCCAATCAAAAGAATTTCAACTTGATGACTTTGTTCCTTCTGAAGCAACCTATGAGCATTATAACACTTATTCATCTACTAGTTGTGGGTTTGACCTGCAATCTTATATCACCAGTATGGATGCAAGGGGTTTAATGTTGTTTCTATGTGAGCATGTGGAGGATCATGATTTAATGCACTCTGAAATTTCTGATGCTCTTCAATTAGGCCCGGATCCTGCAAAACTTGTTTTGGATGCTGTATCAATGTTTCATTATTCAAAGTCAGGGAATCCTCCTAAATCTAAAAAGAAGTCAGAGGATGGCTTTCGTAGTGATGCCTTATGCAAAGTGAGAAAGAGTTGCATTCTTTTGTTGGAGCAGTTAAGGACATTTCCATTCCAGATTGAACCCCATGTTAATGAAAAAGTTTTGAAGTTGGCAGTTGATTGGAAAGAAAGAACGCTAAAGCACCGGAAAGGTGTGATGGTGTATGGTTTCTTGCAGCTGATAGTCACCTACTGTTTGATGTCTGCTTATGATGCAGATGAGCTTCTTGGTCTTTTGGTTATTGCAAGTGATTATCGACAGTCTCCTGATTTGTGTCTGGCTCTTGGTTTGGCAGATAAGATCCCTGGTTAGTCTACTTTCTACCTGTCTCTCTAGTTTATCATTTCTCTTCCTTTTGTTGGTTCTTTTAGCTGTTGGATGAGTTTATCCTGGTCTTCTCTGCATAGCTACATTCATGCCACTATAATTACATCTTCTCTAGCTGAATTCACTAGGTATATTGCAGGAATTTCCCAAAATAATATTTGAGTGATTTCTTAAGGTACAATGTTTGCATGGGAAAAGGGTCAAATTTATCACTTTACTGGACGGGGGCCTCCATATTTACCACTCTACTGCATTTTTTGGTATAATTCTAATCATCTATGGATGGAAATAGAATATTCCATCCAAAGTTTTTCTTTTCTGCTATGTCATACTAACATGGAAAATATTTATGATTACCTAGGATAAAATAAATATGGAAAAAAATAAACACGATAAATTGGTTTGATATATCAAAGATCATGATCTGGGCTAGTTAACATCTCAAGAGCACTAACAAGCTTTAGATGGACAATATGCTTAGGGAGTGATCCATCAATCATGGCGCAATTTTCTGCGACATTGCTTATCAAAGCCATTTCCATTTTCATTTGGCTGACTGCTAACACAAACTCTGAGGCAGAGATATCCGAGTAAGAGATGTGACCAATTCTGTTTTCAAAATTTTTATAAGTTTAAAGATTTTCTTTACCAAAAAACAATTTATCCTACTTATTTTTTCCCATATTTAAATTATCTAAGTTGACGTCTTTTTATTAATGAAAAAACAAATATTTTCCACATTAGCATGACATAGCATAAAAAATTTGGACTGAATATTCTATTTCCGTCCATAGGTGATTAGAATTGCTCCAAAAAATGTAGTAAACTGTAAAAGAATACAAATCCTCTGCCCCGACCCCGAGCTCCCTTTCCTGCCCTGACCTTAAAATCATGCCATCTGTCCGTTTGGCAGATTTTCTGCTTAGTGTTTACGGAAAAAGAAAAACGAAGAAAGAAAGAACTTAACAAGGAAAGAAAGAAATAACCTCAGTGTTTATGGCAATATCTGAGCGTTTTCCATATAAAGATCCAAAGATAAGAAAGACCTGGCTGATCTGGTTTCACGGTAGAAGTGCACCTATATTTTTCGTTTAAGGCTGATCTGGTTTAAGATTGACCTGGCTATCCTATGTAAATCTTCTCTCTATTACGCGATAACATCAAAGCTCTGTTTCCATCTCAAAATCTTGCCGTTTTCCCCGCATCGTACTTTTGTTGAGAGGCAAGAGATGTGTGGTGGGAGGAGAAACAGTGACGGCAATTAAGTTCTCTCTTTCTTTTTTTTTTTTCTTTTTTGTCATAAACACTGAGGAAAAATATTGCCAAACGGAGAGATGCGATGATTTTAAGGTCGGGGCACAAAAGGAGGCACAGGGATGGGCCAATACAGTGGTAATTTTGACTCTTTTCCCTTTCTTATATCAACTGGACATGCTACAGCAATTGTTTGGTCATCTCATGTATTAGGATGGTACATGAAAGGAATCAAAGAGATCCTTATAGGTAAAACATTATGCTGTTATTATTCAGAATTCTCTAGCTTATACATTCAATGATAAATTAAAACAGCTAATGGTAAAAAGATTGAGGTAAAGTATAATGATTATCTGGTCAATGCCTTAAGAACTGGAGATGCTAGTTTTTGAGAAGCTCTTTCGTTACTAGCATTGAAAATCAGTACTCCAGGATTTTAGAGAACTCTACCTCACAGAAATCCCTTCTAAGGCATTCAAGTAATTATATCTTATAAGGTATTTCCAGCAAAAAGAAGTAATCTCTTAATATTGATGGGTTTGAGAAAAAAAAAAAAATTCCTGCAACAGTTGTTCTATATTTGTAATTAGTTTCTGATAACTACTCATCTTATTGTCTCTGTCATCTCTTTCATTCATTTTGTAAAAAATATCATATTTATGAATTATAATAGTAACCTATTATTAAGTTCAGGTTCTGCTTGTATGTGATGTGAGTATTTGTTTTTGCCTATGGCATTCTGATGGCACCTGCAAAATCTTCTTTAAATTTGACAGTCTTGATTGAAACCCTCATAAACAAAAATCAACAGCTGGAGGCTATTGCATACATATGTGCATTTGATCTTGTCCACAAGTACCCTCCTGCACACATGCTGAAAGTTTACTTGGAATATGCCAGGGAGAGTTTGTACCAGAAGGCTAAAAAATCACATTGGAAATGGGTAACTCTTCATTATACTTTTCGTCTTTATGCGTGCTTAAGGATTAAGCTGACAATTGAACTGTTACCCTGAGTCTGTATATTTACTTGAATGTGCTCACAGCATCAGATTATCGATCATGAGATAGCTCTTGTGAGAAAAGTCATCGGATGCATTACTGATCACAAGCTCGAATCACTATATCCACCTGAGGATCTGGAAGACTACATTAAACAGCTTGAAAGGCAGAAGGTGGAGCGATGTATTGCTGCAAGAAAGGACAAGCAGAAAACAGGCCGGAAACAAACTCCGCAAGTCCCTTCTGCCAATTCAAAACTGCAGCAGGAGAGTGGAACAAAGTTACCCTCCACAAATGTGTCAGCAGAGGCGACCCCAAGCACTTCTGCTGGTACTGGTTCCACTACTAAACTGTCACCTCTTCAACTACTAGAAAGCTTCTTTGCAGATCAAGCCGTGCCACATGGTTTATGGGATTCCACTAGTTTCTCTCCAAACACAAACTTATTAGGTGATAAACAGCATGCAGATACGGCCATGATTGCCGATAATGGGAGTTCAGACTCAGACTGAAATGAGCAACTCAATAACATTTAGCCCTGTGTGGTTGCTGTTTGCCTTGGGTACTGATTTTGCTTTGGTATTTGAACCTGGACTGCTGCTATATTGAAGCCAACAAAAGGAATTGCTTTGGTGTCAAATCTTTTAGTGTTTTATCATTCTGCTAATGCATTAAACTGCTTTCATTGTACAGAATTTGAGCATTGTTGTAAGGGTTTGTCTTTAATTTTAATATTTAATTAATTATAAAATGATAGTCATTTATGGTAATAAACAAGAGCCATTAAATGGGCTAAGGGAAGCCCAAAATTGCTGTAGCGCACCGCCGAACTTTAGTTCACCCTGTAAAGTTCGATGATCAAACCATTCAAGAAGAGAATTTTCCTGCATTTTCTCTCCAAAGAGAAAATTTCAGGAAAAAATCATCTGTAGATTTCTTGTTCTTTTTCTATTTATCTAATCGTTTTTCTTTTGTCCTTTTTGTCATTTTTATTTTATTTTTGTGAGGTAGGTTTATACAATGATTTAAGTTTGAATTTGATCTAAGTTGTATGTTGTACAAAATTAGGGTTATATTAGTTTAAATTGTATTCTGTATAAAATTAAGATTATATAATTATTTAAGTTTGAATTTGATTTGAGTTGTGTGTTGTGCAAAGTTAGGGTTATATTGGTTTGAGTTGAGTGTTGTATGAAGTTAGGGTTATATTGATTTGAGTTAAGTGCTATGTAAAATTATAGTTACATTGATTTGAGTTGCGTGTTGTAAAAAGTTAGGGATATATAATGATTTAAGTTTGAATTTGATCTGAGTTGCGTGTTGTATAAAATTAGGGTTAGATAGTAATTTAAATTTAGATTTGGATTAAGTTGCGTGATGGATAAGTTAACTGAATTAGAACTTATAAAATTAAGCAAAATGAATTTGAAAAAAACTTTCGATAAGATTCAAGATCAAGCTTCTTCTGTTCTTCTGCTTAATCTTCAATGGAAAGATATGGAAGAGACTTTGAATTCTGCTCAAAATTCAATAGAAGAACGATTCAAAGAAGTCAGTTCGAGGGAAGAACATGCTAACAAGCACGAAGAGGAGATTCAAAGAAGAGAGGAATTGGTTAAAGATCAACTTGAAGAGATTAGGATTAAAGAGGAGGAACTGGGGAGGCAACGTGGGGATTTGGAGTTGGAAAAGAAGGATTACGAAGAAAGGTTGAGGCAAGTTGAGTTAAGGCAGAAGCAATTTGAAGAGCTGAAATTGAAAGAGGAGGAAGTTGGATTGAAGGAGAAGGATTTGGAGAAGCGTTTGAGGGAGTTTGAGTTGAAAGAGAAGAATTTTGAGAAGAATTGTGGAGATTTCGAGTTGGAAAGAGAGGAACGTCGTAAAGAACTTGAATGTAATGAAAAACAGTATGAGCACAAATACAAAGATGTTCAAGCGAGGGAGAAATTAGTGAAAGGGAAGTCAGCTGCTCTTAAGAAGAAACAGAAGGCAATTGGGTTGGAAAAGGAGTATCTTGAGAAGTGTTACAGAGAGCTTGTGCTGAAACAGGAGCAATTTGGGTTGGAAGAGAAGAGTTTCCAGAAGCGTTGTGAGTTTGAGCTGGGAGAAAAGGGTTTCGAACAACGTCGTAAAGAATTTGAAGAACAACATGAGCTGGAATATAGCGAGTTAAACTTGGTGGTGAAATTGGTCCAAAAGCAGTTTGAAGATGTTAAAAGGAAAGAGGTGGAAATCGGGTTGAAAGAGAAGAGGGTGGAAGATTTATTTGAAAACCTCAGGATGGAGAATGAAGGTGTTAAGGTCATGGAGAAATCTGTTCAAGACTTGTGTGAGGAGGTTAAAAGGAGAGAGCAGGAACTTGGGTTGAAAGAGCGGAATTGTGAGCTGCGCTTCAGAGATGCTGATTTGTTAGAGACTTGTTTTAAGAATGGTCTTCAAAATCTTGGACTAAAATGGAAGCAGTGTGAGGAGAGATCCAGAGAGCTTGAGTTAAAGGAGAGATTGATCAAAGTTCAGTTTGAGGAGCTTAATGTGGAAGAAGAACCATCTGGATCGAAAAAGGATCAGTCCGAGGAGTGTTCTAGTGACTTTAAAATGAAAGAAACGTGTCTCAGAAAGGGTCATCAAGATCTCGAAGCAAGACAGAAGCATTATGAAGAATGCTTGAGCGAAATCAAATTGAAAGAGAAGCAAATTGAAGAGTCATCTGAGCAACTGAGGAGAAAGTATGAACAACAGTTCAAAGACCTTAAATTGAAGGAGAAGAAACTTGCAGAATGCTCTACAGAACTTGAAATGAAAGAGAGGAGGCTTGCTTCTGCCCAACATCCTCAAGAGAACACTGAGCCAGCAAATAGTTTCCCAGTTAAATATCCCGTTGATCATTCTTCACCAGCACATCTTCACTTCTGTGTAAATATGGATGGAAAGGATTTGCAGATGTTCCTAAATGAGAACTTGAAAATTAATGGTTCAATAGGCACTGAGGTTGCTATGGCTCTTCAACTTTCATCAAACCCTGCACAGCTTGTCTTGGATGCAATGGAGGGGTTTTACCCTCCACATTTGAGAAAGGGAGACACAGAGTTTGAAGGGAAAGCTGTCAGAAGAAGTTGCATTATATTGTTAGAGAATTTGATGAAAATTTTTCCTGAAATTAAACCTCATGTTCAAAAGGAAGCTAGGAAGCTTGCCTTCATTTGGAAAACAAAAATGAGCAAAGAACCTGGCCACTCATTGGAGGTTTTAGGATTCCTGCAGCTTGTTGCCTCTTTCAGGTTGGCAGATGCTTTTGATGCTGATGAGCTTATCAGTTTTTTGGGGTCTGTTGCTCATTATCATCAAACTCCTGAATTATTCAAGAATCTTGGATTGGGAGATAAGATCTCTGGTAAATTCTATAATTCTTTGGCTTCTCTTATCTACATGCTTATCTTATAATATTAGTGCTCATCATTTATAGTCAACATGTATTTGCCTTACCTCCTTTCAAGTACTAGCAACTTTTTTTTGCTGATTTCACGCTTGAAATCAGAACAAGGGGATGCATAGAAGAGTTGACTTGTTTACACAAATGAACCTTAGGTGTAGTTATATGGGGAGTTCTAATGGAACTTGTAACTTTGATTACATGTATGACAGGTTTCATAACTGAACTTGTTGAAAGGAAACAGCATATTGATGCAATTCGATTTATTTATGCTTTTGGACTGGTTAGCGACTTCCCACCAGTACCTTTATTGAAAGAATACTTGAATCATTCGAAGGCTGCCGCTGGAAGAATTTTAAGAAAGGGAAACAAAACCCCTGAAGCACAGGTTTCTTCTGCCTGTTTCTCTTTCTATATAAATGCCTACTACCTCATTTAATTTTATACCATCTGACTTGTGTAAAACTAACCAACAGAATGAGTCATGGACCAAACAAATAGTTGATCTAAGGGCTGTTGTCAAATGCATAAAAAGGCATCAGCTTGAATCCGAGGACCTTCCTCTGAACCTCAAGAAGCTTAATGCTTTAATTGCCTCTCTTGAGAAAAAATGTGTGAGCCGAAGTCTTGCATCCCCAAATGCTAACCCTGCTCCTGAGACCCCATCACAACAACAGAACAGTATTAAGCGATCTCGAGCATCGCTAGATACTGAAATTGCTGGACATGCCTCTGTCGGTGCCGCTGGCCCAGCCACTGTTTCCCAAATGAAAATGCCTTCTAAGCATCTGAAAAGGTCAAACCAAGGCAAGCATTCTTGAGAACATTAGCTGGACACTATTTTTTTATACATTCCTAACTACTCTTTGTTATTTGTTGCTTTAAGGACGACATATCTACATTAGCATATTAAATGTTTCTGTTTGTGCTCCTTTAGTCAACAAATCTCCCTGAAATCTTAGTTGCTTCTAGGGCAAGCAAGTTTATTTTTGTAGTTACAACTTAGGATATTACATGTATGCATATTTATAGTTTTATTAACAATGGTATAAAACTAGATTTTCTTCCCCTTCTCTGTTAATTTGAGTCGGTATCAAAGTTTTACTTTGTTGAGCTCCTTTGCAGCAACTTACTGGAGTTTAAATTTTCTTTTATGTATTATAGAGTATAAGATTGATTCAAAACTGCTATCCGGTCCTCTTGGAGAAAACATGAAAAGATCAAATTCTAAACAGTTGCATCGGCAAGACAGTGGGCAAAAAGATGGTGCCACCACCAGTGCCCCTTCTGTTTCTTCCCCGGTTTGCCCTGCTGCAGCTGCTCCCACCACAGTCGTTGTTCCCTCCTCAACAGCTACAACAAGTAGTCCTGCTATCATCCCCACAACTCAACCACAGGAGGAGGAACACAGAAGTAAGCGTCCTCGGACAGCCAGCTTCATCTCAAATGAACTATAGTTTGGCTGGGCTTCCCCATATAAATTTGAAGAGAAGCCCTGATGGTGTTACACATTCTTATTCTTGGTATGCTCTTTTAAGACCTGGTGATCGCAAGTAGGTAGCTAGCTAGGAGAATGCAGCAGGCAAACCTATTGGCAATGGCTGGCTCCAACTTATGAACCTTAGTTCAATTTGTCCGTCAATAGCCACATTTTCAAGCATTACCGTGATTCAATGCTTGTACTTTTGCATTTGTAAATAGCAAAATAATATATCGACAAAAAGTTTGCATAAAATATTTTTTAAACTGGCTTTTGAAGACTTATTTTTATTTAGAAAACGAAAAATCTTTTTTTTGTATAAAACATTTTATAAGTCTAGTAAAAATAATATATCCCTTACTCATAATTATAATAAAAATATTTCATATTTCCAGAGAACACATGGGCTGTCTGACTTCACCTGTAAATGTACAGATCATTGCCTTCCTTAGCTGTCATGTCACCTACGACAACTAGATTTATAGACTTTTCATTATTTGTCTAATCTAAGCAATCATGCTTCATTGTTCTGTGAAACTTGTTAAATTAGGTGAAAAATGGTTATCAAATTTGGTGTCTGTTATTGAATGGATATACACCAGTTGGCCAGGTCCAAGTAAACATGACCTGAATTCTGGATTTCAATTCTTAGTAACGATTTCATTTGAAAAGCAAACAAACAAACAAAGGATATTGTCAACAACCACACACACCAAAGCAAAACCCAAATCGAAATCTACTTCAGCAAAGAAAAATCACTCTCTATTTTCCAATAAGGTGGCTAAGTTAGCAACACCCGGCAACTAGGACGATTGGCTACTTTCTGAATCTGGGATTAAGACTCGAAAAAAGAATAATAACATAATATGCCCCTCATTTACAATCCAAGCAAGACCCACCAAATAACTATTAAGATCTTCCTTATCTAATAATTATTCACCCATATAATTTATATATTATCTTTTATGGGTTTTATTTGGCCTTTTAATAGCTGTGCCAAGAAATGTTTGTTGTTGCATCTTGCATGCCAGGCCACCAAATCTTATATACAAAATCTTGTTACTTTATATTACTTGTATGTATATCTATAAAATCAAATCATTTGGGATCATTGCTTCATTTGGATTTACCAGGGGCTGGCTCCCTTTTTTCCTTTTTTTTTTTTTTTGATCTTCTGCTAAAATGGGTGGTACTGGAATGCTGAATAATTCAACTATGATATGTGCTCTGTTAATGGCTCAATCTGTGGAGCAAATGGTTAAAGACATGCACCAGGCAAAGGCTGAAGGTGCACAGCTTGTTGAGATTAGGTTGGACTATATCAAGAATTTTCAGCCCCACCAGGATATTCAAATCATCCTCAAAAACAAACCTTTGCCAGTGATCATTGTATATAGGTAAGCATCTTCACTGTGTTTTTTCCTTTTCTTAGTGTTTTGAGTTTATTGGATGAATTTTGGATGTATGTTATTCAAATAGTCGCATGATTCTATGACTATTAGGAGATTGCAGTTGGAGAAATGCCTGGTTTTTGCCCATTTTAGAAGTCAAGATTGTATGTAAGAGATTCTTTTCCGTGTGGTGCTGTATTCGGTTGTTGTGGAAAAAAAAATAGGTCCCATCATTAATGTATTTGTCCTTTTACATGGATGTAGCCGGTAAATCTAGCAGGAGTCTATACTTTATGAACTTCTAAATTTCTAAGATTTGGCCTTTCTTTCAGGCCTAAATGGGAAGGTGGTCAGTATGAAGGAGATGAGAACTCACGGCTGGAAGCACTTTGTTTAGCTAGAGAAATGGGAGCTGATTATATTGATTTTGAACTCAAGGTAGCCTTGTAAAACAGGGATGGGTTAGGCTCTTGATTGTTATTACTCTGATTCTATTGTGGTATGTGTCATCTGAGGATTTAAAACAGGGGTATGAGATTTTTTGTAATTGTGAATAGTTGATACAGAGTGTTGCATACTGAAGCTTTGAGGTCTACTACCAACATCTGGTGTTAAGACTTTAAACCTTCCTTTTGTAAAGCAGGGACCCTCTCCCTGTTGCATTTGATATCTAATGAAACTTAAACTTTCAAAAAAAAAAAAAAAAGGTAGCCTTTGAATTGATGTACTTTTTTAGCATTAATTTTGTTTGCTAGCTGTTTTGCTTGATTATTGCGTCTTGTATTGTAAATTTCCATATTCTGTCAACGTTTCTGCATTTTGTTACCTTCATATTGATTATTCACCATGTTACAAACTGAAATATATTTCCACTCATTTTCTTCTTTCAAATATCTGATAGTGTGCATTATGGAAATTGGTGTCCTCTTAAAATAGCCAGAAGTGTCCTAGCTGGTTTTCCCTTTGAATGACCTGTTTTTTCCTTTGAAATTTCTTTAGTTTTATCTGACTTGCGTATCATGTGATTGTCCAGGTGGCTTCTGATCTTACTAGAGAACAGAAAATGAAGAATGACAATGCTACCAAAGTTATAGTCTCACATAACATAGATGGTATGACCCCTAAAGATGAAGAGTTAAGCAATCTTGCTGCCAGCATCCGAGCTACTGGAGCAGATATCATCAAAGTGGTTGTAAATATAGCTGATATTACTGAGATAGCGAAAATTTTTCATTTGCTTTCTCATTGTCAAGTATAAAACTCTAACTCTATTGTCTCTCCCTTTGAATATGTGCAGATCATCTGTATAGACTGTTACTGTGGTATAACATTATCAAATGCTATTTATCTGCAGGTGCCAATAATTGCATACTCTGTAGGGGAAAGGGGTCTCATAAGCCAGCTATTGTGCCCAAAATTTGGTGGCTTTTTAGCCTATGGATCTATTGTTGGACATTCACTTCCTGGCATGCCTTCTTTATATAGTCTTAGGCATACTTATAAGCTTGACTATTTAAATTCAGAAACTAAAGTTTTTGGACTTGTTTCAAAACCTGTCGGCCACAGCAAAGGCCCTCTATTGCATAATCCTACCCTCAGACACGAGAACTTCAATGGGGTTTATGTCCCAATGTTTGTTGATAATCTCGAGGAGTTCTTTAGCATCTATTCCAGTCCAGACTTTGCTGGTTTTAGGTATGTCCTATAATTTGATTTTCATATGTGATCTATTTTTATCTTTGGTAGATTATGTCAGGTCACTTTTGTTTCACTTAAGTATACAGCCATTGTAAGCTGCACCTCTTCTTATCTTGGTCTGCCAAGCTTCTTAGCATGAGTTACACCCTGTGTTTTGACCTTTTAGGTCTTCAAACACATTTAAGCCAGTGACTTTCTTTGTTTAACTAAACTCAGAACTGGCCTTGACAGATTTACGAGAAAGAATTATGGATCTGGGGAAATTTTATCTTATGTTGCAACTAGCCCTTTTGTTGATATACCAAACACCGTTTCTCATAACTGGAAGATTATGAATAGTAGCAATATACTGAAATATAAATGCCATCTTTCTTTGATAAATAGCTTTATTTCTCGACCTTATTTCCATTTTTTGGAATGATGTAGCCAGGTTTTTTTTCCACTGTCCTCCGAAATGTAACTTCTGATTTTCCTCATTTCAACGAATTGCAGTGTTGGGTTCCCATACAAGGAAGCTGTAGTTGAGTACTGTCATGAAGTTCATCCACTTGCAGAGGTTGACTAGAATCTTACAAACATGTTAGAATTTGCAATTTCCCATTTATTTGTTCATTTCCTTTCTTTTGTGCTCTATTGCATTTCCGATGCATGGATTAATGCATGGTAAATCAAAGCACCAATTTCTGGCTACACTAAGACCAACTGAATCTCATCTTTTAGAAGTTCAACTTATTGAGAGAGACATGCCAAAGAACATAAGACTGGTTTGATCAATTCACAGGAAAAAAAGGAAAAAGAACGAAATATCTGCAGATACAAGTTTTTACTTATTCATGCTTGTGAAAAATTTTCTTTGCAAATGGGTAAAAATGGTATTTAGTTTAGGAAGAATATTCACCTGATCCTGGTTGTAGATGTTCATATTTTACTATCTGAGCTTGTTGGTATTGCATCAGTAGACATGGAACCTTTTGTGAAGGGAGACCAAAAGTAGCAGAGGAGTACACTCATACAAGGCTAGGTTGACATGTTTGATGCCGATGTGTATACCAGTACCAACTACTTGAGATCCTTGAATTATCCTTTATTCATTGTTCTTACTGCTGCAACTTCCTATACCTAAAGCTAATAGCATCTGCTTGCAGTTTCATCCATATGTAATAGATATTTGAGAATGTTTCTTGCATGCATCATCAGTCTATAGGTGCGGTTAATACCATTGTAAGGAGGCCTTGTGATGGGAAGCTGATAGGTTATAATACTGACTGCGAAGCTGCAATAACTGCAATTGAGGATGCTCTAAAAGGTACCTGACATTGATGAACAATTGCTCATCATGTCCTCACAGAGGTTTTGTAGTGTTGATTAATGAGTAGGCCATTCTAGATGCTGACATTGTGATACTTTTGCACTTGAAAATTATTATAGAAAAGAGATGCAGTAGTAATGAAGTATCTTCAGGTACTCCATTATCAGGGAAACTCTTTGTGCTAGTTGGTGCTGGAGGTGCAGGAAGAGCGTTGGCATTTGGTGCTAAAAGCAGAGGATCACGCATAGTCATTTTTGACATTGATTTTGGTATGTCATCTGCAATGCTTAATGGGAAATGCATGGTCTTTCTCTCTATGCTGATATGATTGTCAATTATAAATTTTGCCTATTCCTTTGTAGTACATTGTTGTAGCATCAGGAATAATCTAAAAGATTATAAGTAGATAATCCAAACCCTTTCTTACCATTCTCATTTCTTGTGGAAAAAGAGAGAGCAAAGTCTCTTGCTTGTGCTGTCTCTGGTGAAGCTCGAGTTTTTGAAGAAGTAGTTAATTTCCAGCCAGAGAAAGGAGCAATCCTTGCAAATGCAACACCCCTAGGAATGCATCCAAACACTGATCAGCGTATTCCTGTGGCTGAGGTTGCTCTACTTCCTGCACTACTTGAATAAAGTTCCAATTCTTTTTTGAAGAACGAAGTTCAATTTTGTTTCCTTACTGAAACTATTTACTTTGCTTTTTCAAGTCAACTTTGGGGGATTATGAGCTGGTTTTTGATGCTGTTTACACACCTAGAAAAACAAAACTTTTAAAGGATGCTGAGGCTGCAGGGGCAATCATTGTAGGTGGAGTTGAAATGTTCCTCAGGCAGGCTATTGGTCAGTTCAATCTCTTCACCGGTCATGAAGGTATCTCTTGAATCTCTTCCCTCTATCTGTTTCATGACCTTAAACTACATCCTAACTTCTCTGCACACCAGTTTTCTAATTAAATTACTTGGAAACTTTAGGCCTTTTAAAACCATCCAAAGATCTTTATAACAAATGTAAGTTGATGATTCAACTATTTCAATCTGTTGTTGATTTTACGTATGAGACTATTTCATGATAAAGTTCTTTGTGCTGATAATCTGAGTCATTCTTCCTCAAAATTGCCTCCTAATACAGCCTGAGAATTAGAGCAAGGATATATATTATCAATATACCTAAACTGTTTTAAATGTGCTTTAATTTTTTGGTTCTGTCTTGCAGCTCCTACAGAGTTAATGCGCGAGATCATTATGGCCAATTTCTGATGTATTGCATCACATGGACAATATTGTAATATTCAGCAGTCTTCTCATAACTTTAATGAACTGGCATTGCAATGCTCAGCTAATAAGCCACACATATATCATTGCTGTTCGTGACAAAGTAGTCCTGACATAAACTTTTTGGTCTTAAAACAGTTTTAGCATTTCGTATTGCATTCAAAGTCACAGTAGGCTCATAGCCAGCATGGCAAGATGGAGTGTGGGGAAACAACTTTGTCCTTGAGAAACTATGAATGCCCAGAGGCACATTGGTGATGGTTATGTGCTTTATTTATCTGTTACTCCTTGTTTACTTAATTCCTCTAATTGGGTGTTTCAGCTTGGCTCCAATTTTATTTGGGGTTTCTAAATTTGTGCTGCCATCCTCAAAACCTCAACCTATCTGGGCTAAAAGACCAGCTCGTTTTTCACATGAACTTTGGGGCTGGGATTGAACTTTCTCTATCTCAATTCGGATCAGTGAGGCAGCCCTTTGCCGTGACCTGAATCAAGACAGGAAAAATAAGATTTTCTGTACTTTGGCCCTTTTGAGACAAATTTGAGTCACATTTTTATGTTTTGAGATATCACTCCAGACAATTATCATTGCCCCAACTACCAAAAATACCTCTGATGAAAGCCAGCCCTCGCCTAAGGACTTTTTGTATCCAGGAAACCATTTGAGGCTCTGCTTTTGAAGTCTCCTCTGGGAGACCCTATTAATAAATCCATTGCTGTTCCAAAAAATAAAATATGGGATGGCCAAAATAAAGGAGCCCAAAGCTAAAAACTGAACTTATAATACTAAATCCTCATGCTAAATTTGGAAGAGAACTTCAACTTACCAATTCCAATTAGATTGATTGTGTTCATCAAGACAATGCTTACTTGATACTGTAATAGATTAACAGATTACTCCAAAGGAAGAATTACTATAAATTCTAGACTCAGGTGAGTGCTAAATCCCAATCTAATTTCTTCTAAGAACAAAGCTCAATGTTACCTAAACCCACCATTAAATATTGAATATACCAATTCTTAAGCTATCTTTGGCAATTAATTTTGTAACAAGAAAATATTTGAACGTACTAAGATTGGGCAGTCCATTAGATTTTCTGATTTTCCTCAGGTGTAACACATTAAGAGCTGCCCTAAGATGTATCATTGCTGTCTATAAATTTCAACAACCCACAGAAAAATCTCCCAAGAGAGTATCAAAAGCAACATCTCTTTTCTTTCTCTCATAAATTTCACCACGTGCCGTCAACTTTTAGCTAACAGACTGCTCTTTTCCATGCAAACTTTTTCTTGCTTTCTTTCAATGCACCTATCTTTCTTTCATATATATAAAACAAAAGGCTCAATTCCAAATTCTTTGCATGTTCAATGAAAATGTCTTCAGCTATATCAAGTTGCAAAATATATACATAGTCTTCCTTCGTCACATGTTTATTTTTTTGGTAAAAAGACTTATCCAGTTTTTGTACTTTTTAATTTTATTCAATTTAATTTCTGTATTCAAAATTAAAATAATTTAATTTCTTAATTTTAAAAATTACGTTAATTTAATCTCTCTCTCTAACTGCATCTAATTTTATCGTAAAAAGAATTATCTCAGTACAAACGTATCACATTTTTATGATATGGCATACCACGTGGCATCGAGTGATAACATGACAATGTCACGTGGCACTATATGATGATATGATAATGCTGACATGGTACTGACATGCTGATATGATAATGCTGACATGATACTGACATGCTGATATGTTAATGCCACGTGACAGATCAAAAAAATTTTATCACGTTATAGGACTAAATTAAAAAATATATATAATATAAGGATTAAATTGAACAAAATTGAGATGTTGAAGGATTAAATTAAAAAAACTATAAATTTTTAAGTAAATTATTGATATACTTATTAATAAGTCAAATATTTAAGTGTAAAAGATTTATGGTGTTAAAAAATATATAAATTTTTTTTTACTTGATTATTTGATTTTAAAATATGTAAATTAATTTATTTTTTTGTAAAAATTAAGTTTGAATTTTCCTTCTATAAAAATAATTTTAAAAAAGTGTCATACCCGAAGTCAAATTTAGATGAATAATTTGTAATACGTTAAAATAAAATGATATAGAATCTGTGCTCCATCTTTCTAATTATTTATTTATTTTTTATGCTTTTATTTTGTTTAATAATTCAAGTTATATTTTTTAAATTGAAATTTCTTAAATTAAAGACTGCATTTATAGTTGATGAAGTTAAAAATAACTTTAAATATTTATACTATTTTATTTTATTAATAAAATTTTTGTAGATCTAAATAAATAATTTAAATTTAAATTTAACAAAATTTGATTATGGTATTTGAGTTTAAATAAAATCGTTCTATAAGAAATTTTGAGTAATTTTAAATAAAAAGTAAATTGGGTAAAAGTTGAATAATTTCAAAAGAATGTGTATTTGAAAATTGTAAAAGCTGTAACTAAATCAATATATTTTGTTAATTTAAGTAAATTTAAATAAAAGGTAAACTGAATAAGAATTAAATAATTTCAAAAGAATGTATATTTATAAATTGTGAGAGTTGTAACTAAATTAACATATTTAGTCATTTTATATTATTTTATTTTAACATAATGTAAGTTATTCATCTAAATTTGACTTTAGGTGTAAAATTTTTTCAAAAATTTTTTTATAGAAGGAGATTCAAACTTAATTTTTCTAAAAAAGATAAATTAATTTACATATTCTAAAATCAAATAATCAAGTAAAAAAAATCCATAAATCTTTTACACTTAAATATTTAGCTTATTAATAAGCATAATAATAATCTACTTAAATATTTATATTTTTAAATATTTTTTAATTTATTCTATCAATATCTCAATTTTGTTTAATTTAATCCACATAGTATATATTTTTATTCATTTTAATTTTTATGAAGTTGTAAAAAAAATTTTTGATAAGTTTTTTACTTGGCACATGGCGCTGACATGTCAGCATGTTAGTCTCACATCATCATATAATACCACATGGTATTACCATGTCATCACTTGGTGTCACATGGTATGTCATGTGATAAAATATGATGTTAACGTTGATATTATCTTTTAACCGTAAAATTAGATGACGTTAAAAATAGAGACTAAATTAACATAATTTTTAAAATTAAGAAACTAAATTATTTTAATTTTGAATATAAAAATTAAATTAAACAAAATTAAATATATAAACACTTGATAGATTTTTTACCTTCTTTTGTTTTATTTTTTACTTTCACTAATTTTACTGCAAAGTCAGCTTTATTCCACTTTATCCATGTCCATTTTCACTTTTTCCTGTTGCACCAAACTAATGCTACTAGCTGAACAATGGGCTACCCTTTACATTTGGTTTGCTTCGCTTGATCAATATTGGAAATATGTTTCTACATTCCTCAACTCTCAATTAATCTAAACTTTTTTCTTTGTTTTTGGCTTTCAATCTTGGTTTCTGATCTACTTCTGACATGAGCAACAACAGGATTCAAAGTGGACCAACTTTGCTATGCACACCAATAACGGGTACCACGGTTGGTCAAATGCTTACTGAGATGCGAATGGCAAAGGAAATCGGCAACGACGTCGTCGAAATCCGGCTTGACTGCTTGAGAAACTTCACTCCTCGCCAAGATCTTGAGAGTCTTATTAAGCAGTCACCCTTGTCCACCCTAGTAACGTACAGGTACGAACTAAGCTAGTTTCAGCTGCCACATTTTTTTAATCATTTGTTTTTCATTCAGATTTTTGTTATTAAGTTTATCTAAAAATTAAGATTATTATCATTATTAAATTATTTATAATTATACTAATTAATTCTTTTAAGTAAATTATTAATATTGATTCTTCTGAATAATTTTTAAGATTTATTTGTATAATTTTGATATGAACTTTTTTTGTTTAAGTTGTTTTATATTATTGTCAAACATTGAATTTTTAAAATAACTATTTAATTTATAAATATTATTTTTAATTTTTTATCCTTCAAATATAAAATCTTGATTCCGTCACTATATATACCTAATCAGTTGGTTGGTACTATATGTATTTTTATTTAATAATTTGATGAAATCGACTATGTTTTTTTGTACTTTTCAGGCCAATATAGGAAGGTGGTCAGTATGAGGGAGATGAAACCAAGAGGCAGGATGCACTTCGATTGGCAATGGAATTGGGTGCCAACTATATTGATATTGAGCTTGAGGTAGTTTGTCTTTAGATATTTCATATAGTTCTACATTGGTTTATATCTTCAATACCAGTAAGTTCATTACTGAAAGAACAATTCCAATATTTTCTTTAATTTAATCCAATACCAGTAAGTTTGTCTTTAGATATTTCATATAGTTCTATATTTTCACTCCATTTTGTATTCGATGGCATGTCAATTGACAAGTCACTCCTATTTTATATGTCTAATCTATTCTGCAGGTTGCTCATGACTGCATTAGCTCCATTTATGGAAAGAAACCTGATAACGTCAAAGTCATTGTTTCTTCTCGCAATTTCCATAATACTCCATCTACTGAGGCTAGTGGCAATCTCGTAGCACGAATTCAAGCTACCGGGGCTGACATAGCGAAGATTGCAACAACTGCACTAGACATCACAGATTGTGGACGTATTTTCCAAATCACTGTTCACTGTCAAGTAAGTATACTGACTATATTCCATGGTACTGCTTTCTGAAACTGTAGTTCTATACCAGATTGGAAGTGATACCTTTCAAAACTCTAGATTCCAACAATTGGAGTTGCTATGGGCGAGAAAGGTTTAGTTTCATAGTTGCTCAGCCCCAAATTTGGCGGATATCTCACCTATGGTGCTCTTGAGACGGGCTCTATATCTCCTGGACAACCAACACTAAAGAACTTGTTGGACTTGTACAACTTTAGACTTATAAGGCCTGATACCAAAGTATATGGCATTATAGGGAAGCCAGTAGGCCACAGCAAAAGTCCTCTTATATTCAATGCAGCATTCAGGTCGGTTGGTCTTGATGCAGTTTGTGTGCATTTCCTGGTGGATGATGTGGAGTTCTTTAATACCTACTCTTCCCCTGACTTTGTCGGATGCAGGTATGATTCCCACTGGCAAGGCTTGACTGTAGTTTGTTTTATATCTCAATTGGCTTTAAAATCGAAAAAAAGTAAGATTCAACTTAGTAAAGTGCAGTTGTACAATACCCCACAAGGAGGTTGCCCTTAAATGCATGGATGAAATTGATCCCATCGCCAAGGTACCTGAATGATCTGCCAATCACATAAATTCTTGCTTGTACTATCACC